GTGTGTGTGTGTGTGTGTGTGTGTGTGTGTGTGTGTGTGTGATTCTTACAAACAGAATAGAAAATAAATTGAAATAGAGAGACCATATGGCACGAGGAAGTCCAAATGGAAGAATCTCATGTTCAAAGTGAACCTACTGGACAGCCAAAGCTACAGCATAACACCATTTTCCTCCCAAAAATAATCTAGAGAGAGAGAGAGAGAGACACCTACAGAATGAATGTAATAATACCCTAAAATTTCTTACCATGATGCCTCAGTTCTATAACATAGAAAACAATAAGAGCCTAGAACAGCATTTAGAGGTCCACTCCTAGTTATCCACTTCTAGAAGTTGGTTTTTATTCATCAATTTCTGACTTCAACTGCTCCTGAGCAAAAGCAAAATGATGTGTAGGTGGGAATTGAACCCTTTAAGGTCAGGTTCAAATTGCAGAATTCTGATTGTCAATGGGATTGGCAGACAGCATCAAAAGTTCTGTTCACTTGCAGAAATTTTTATGCTGTTTCTGATGATATCCATTTGATAACCACAATGAAGAAGAAAGCTGGCTGTCAGAGGCATACAGCTCACATCAATACAAGTCAAAGAGATTTGGGGAATCAGGTCAGGTCTTATACCTCACCTCCTCTTGTGACTCTGACCTTCAAATACATTGTCTGGTTTTCAATTATTCTTTTAAGTCATGGAGAAAAAAATCAATGATGTCATGAATCTTGCATCATTAATGATTCTAAAGCCAGCATCACATGGATAACACCGACGAGTTAGGTTGCCTATTTGAAATGGATTCTGCTATTCTTAGACCACAGTTACAGCAGCTTCTGTACATTGAAGCTGATGGAAATTTTTCTAGCCAAATTATTCTCTAGGAGGATGAAAGCTCTTAGGTTTCTTTTCTTGATGGAGTCTCACTCTTGGGCACCATTTATTTTTTACAATCACACCACCCCATCCTCTTCAGTACACTATTGACTATACTCTTAAGTGTCCTGGTGCCCTTTTTTACTCCAAGTTGCACATATCATTTCTTCCTGTTCTTGTTGCTCCTTTTCATTGTATTCTTATATAAGAGTGACCAGTAATAACCAATCCACAGGCTCAACATTAAACTATATTGAAACTTCCTCTGGAAAATAAATCAGTATATTAGTTTTCAATTTAGTCTCACAAAAAAAAAATTCTTAGGACATTATAAGGATACAGCTAGATTGTTGGCCAAAATATCACATAAATGGCATCTAACCCTATGGTTGATACAGTCTCTGGTTCCTGCTGAGACCTTTTGAACCAGATCTCCACTGTCCACATAGATTTCACCAAAACTGCCTTCTACAATCTTGATAGAAAGCTCCATTAAGCTCTGCTTAAAGCTTTCAATTGCTTGTCTAGCCCAAAGTTCCAAACACTTCTGCACACCTTCAAATCCCAAAATGATCAGGTTCCTCACAGCCACATCTCACCTCTGGTGACAATTTCTATATCAGTTGCTTTTCTGTAACTGTGATAAAACATGGCTATCAAAACAAACTTAGTGGAGAAAATGGGGTTGTTTTAACTTTACGTTTCAAACGAGTAGAGTACATGATAGTGTGGGGGCATGGAATAGCATCAGAAGCTTGAAGCTGCCCGATCATTTGTCCATTCACACAAGGAAGCAGAGCGAGGTACAGGAATTGGTATGAGGTTATAAACCTACAAAATTCTACTTCTGCATTTATATCTCTTAATGATTTCCTTGTATTTGTATATTGCTCATTTCATTTGTGTAAATTATGGAAAGCTTTAGGAGGTGAATATTTCCTGGAGGAAGTACATCTCTAACTTACTGGTATGCCTAGTCCATAATCCACCTCTTTGTAAAGCACCCAGATATTTAGTGATTCATTATAGATTCAGATATTGTATACTTTTTTATAGAAGTTAGGCTAATTTATCTTAATTAACCAGTTTATCCAAGTCCTATACTGCTATACACCTGTGAGTTATGCCACGTTCAACATTTTTCTACATATTCAGTTCTCTCCCCTGTTCAAGATTACAGTGGTATAATTCAGTATGTCTTTATTATATGATATTCAATAAATGCATATAATTTGTTTATATTAAATTATCGCCTCAAATTACTCCACTAGCAGCCCCCAGAACGACTTCCTCTCATTTTTATTTGCTGTCTCTTTCTTACATATACTGGGTCCATATAGTGTTGTCTATATGCTTAATATCTTAGAGCAATATGCTGGGGCATGAGCAGTCTCTCAAGTTACACGTCACTTAAGAAAAGTTGCTCTGTCTCCATCAGCAGACATCAATTATTTAAATCTCAGATAGTGGTCATACTTCAGATGCCCCAACCCTAGCCAGCTAAGACTTTAGACAACTTGATATTATTCGTGTCTAATGCATCCAGTCATAGCCGCTGTGAAAACATGTGTGTAATGATCCTGCCATATTCAACAAAAATGTATTTCACTGCTGACCTAGACCACTGCAGCTTAAATCATCCCTCCTCCATGATGATCCATAAATCTTTGAGGGAGAGTATGTGAAGTCTTATTAAAGCTGAACACTGCAGAGTTTCTTATTTCATGCACATTGATCAGTTCTGAATCTCTTATTAATCACCATTTACTGCAGAAGAGATTTATCTGATGGTAGCTGAAAGATACATTAAACTATGGCTATAAAAATAGGAATTTAGAGGGTGTTTTATTAGTATGTTAACTTAGCAGGATAATGTATTAGATTTTCTTATCCAGACATATTTTTTGTTGTTGTTTTTGGTTTTTTGTTTTGTGTGTATTTGTTTTTCACAATTAACAATACCAGGCATCAATTCCATTTTGAGGACCAGTCCTTAAATTCAATCAGAATTTGGTGGATAGTTACCCCCACAACATTCAAGCCACTATTACACCAATCTTGCCTGGCCAATCATTATTTTAGCATGAAAGGGCCATAATTTGATGACATAGTTGATGACTTTCCTCCCTTGGTAGCATTCATATAACCTTCCAGCAACAGGACAGCTAGCCAGTATGTATTAATCATCCAGGTCAATATCAGCTAGATTTCTCTATATCCTACATCTCCAGTATATGATGTCTTCAGAATAAGGATCTTACCTTCAAGTTTAAGAGCAATGACAATTGTCTGCAATGTGTGGAGAGTGCATGATACCACCTTGACCAACAACTCCACAAGAGGTAACACATTTCCGGCACTGTGTTTTTTATTGCATCACCTATTTTGTCCGGAGAAAGCATTGCCCTACTTGTATAGGGTATGGCAACTTTTATATATGCACATGTATGTATTTCGGAAAGCTATATTTTAATAGAACACTTCTATATAACCTTTCAATGATCTTTACTATTATTATCTCTTCATCTACCAATTTTCTATTCTTTCTTCCCATCTTCCACCCCTTTTAACATATCTTCTTCCAGTGTATCCAATTTTATCTTCATACAACCAGTATCCTTACTCCCATGCCTTGAAATACCCTATGTGACATTATAGTTTCCTGGCTTTGAAGAGTACTCTAATTTAAACACACATATTTAAAGATTCAAAGATAACATCTATATCTGAGAGAAATTTTAGGATGTTTGCTTTATGTGTCTGAATTACATCACTCAAAATGACTATATAAACTCCCTTTTATAATTTCATTATTAACAAGTGAATGAATAATATTCCAATGTTTATATGTAGAGTGGTTTTACTATCCATTCATTTGCATATCTAGGTTGTTTCCATTTCTGAGCTATTGTTAATAAAGTAGAAATGAACATGAGTGAGCATGTATCCGTATAGTAATAGCCTGGGATATGCAAAAAGGACAATACATTGTATCTCTTTTTAGCCTTTTGAGGAAAGTCCACAGATCTTTCCATAGAGGCTGTACTACTTTTCTCTTCCACCAACAGTGAATAAGTCTTACACTTTCCCCAAATTAATACCAGCACTTTTGGTCATTTGTTTTAATGGTCTTCGCTATTCTGACTGGACTAAGATGAAATCTTACAGTGTCATTTCCTTGCTACTTAAACTTATTCAGCATTAAAAAGATTCTCAGTCATTCATTTGGCACACATTTTATTATTTTTCTGCATTACAATTTTTATTAATTAAGTTTTTATTTAATTTACATTCTGATGGCAACTTCCCCTCCCTCTTCTCCTCTCATCTGCCCCTGGTCTTCTTCTTTTCAGGAAAGTGTGATATCTCATGTGTACCAACCAGCCTTGATATATCAAGTTACACTAAGACTATGTGCATCTACTTCTATTGAAGTTAGACAAGGCAGCCCAGATAAGGAAAAGAGATCCAAAGACAGCCCCTACTCCTGAATTAGGAGTCCCACATCAAGACTCAGCTGCACAACTTTTTATCTAGGTACAGAGGGTCTAGGTTTGTTCCATGCATGCTCTCTGGTTGGCAGTTCAGAGTTCAGTTTTTATGAGCCCCTGTGAGTTCAGCTTTGATTCTGTAGGGTTTTGTGTGTGTGTGTGTGTGTGTGTGTGTGTGTGTGTGTGTGTGTTTGTGTGTGTGTGTGTGTGTGTGTGTGTGTGTGATGTCCTTGACCATTATGGCTCCTTTACTTCTTTCTCATCCTCTTTCATAGGATTCCTCAAGATCCACTTAATTTTTGGCTGAGGGTCTCAGCATCAGTTTTCTTCAATTGCTGAGTGAAGCCTCTATGATGACTGTTATGCTAGACTCCTGTCTACAAGTATAAGCAGAACATCATTCATAGTGTCAGAGGTGGGTTCCCTCTCATGACATGGGTCTCAAGTAGAGCCAGTCATTGCTTGACCATTCCCTTAAATTCTGTTCCATCTTTTATCCCTGCACATCTTGTAGGTAGGACATATTTGTGGGTCTGAGCTTCCATGGCTGGGTTGGTGGCCCAATACCTCCACTGGAAATATTGCCTGCTTACAGGAGATGGCCAGATGAAATGAATGCACAACATACCCAAACGTATGGGACACAGTAAAAGACCCGGTACAGACCCATGTAGGTCCTGTACTTGCTGCTCCGATCTCTGTGAGATCACATGAACTTTGCTCAGTTGCTTTACAGGGATTTATTCTCCTTGGTTTCTTCACCTCTAGTTCCCACACTCTGACCTCCTCTTTCTCAGGGTTCCCTGAACACTAAGAGGAGGGTTTAATGGAGCCTTCCCATTTAGTGATTATCAGTTTCTTTGTGCTTAAGTTCATGTTGAAAACATTCAAGAATTCTTTGTGAATTATTATGGGATAATATATACATAAATAATTGGAATTACCTGGAGTTTTCTTTGTTCACAATGACACAAAACAAGAACTTATTGTAGCTGGGTGGTGGTGGCGCACGCCTTTAATCCCAGCACTTGGGAGGCAGAGGCAGGTGGATTTCTGAGTTCGAGAGTTTGAGGCTAGCCTGGTCTACAGAGTGAGTTCCAGGACAGCCAGGGCTACACAGAGAAACCCTGTCTCGAAAAACCAAACCAAAAAAAAAAAAAAAAAAGAACTTATTATAAATTACATATTCATATGATTAAATAATTAATGAATAAGTCAAAGAAATTTTAGTCAATTTTGGTTCACATAAGTTAACCAATGACACTTATCTTTCATAAAAGAAACAAGAAAAGAATTTTTGTATATGATACTTTATCTTTACATGTGAGCAATAGCAAAGAAACCTAATTTGCTTAAAATAGCTAGTGTTTGAATATCAGGAAAGACAGCTATTTGTGAAATCTTAGAGATTTGTTAGTAAATTATTGTTGAGGAAAATAAGAACAAATTCTCAACTTAAAGCCAAAATAAAACTAATAAAATTTGTTGGAATGAGGATTAGATTTTAAATCAAATGCACAGAATCCACTTCAGCATATTTAAAAAGAGAAAACTGATTCATTAATAGGATCAAGATCAACTCGGGTAAAAGTAACCATATGCAAACAGCATTCTCATTGGTATTTTAGAAAATTATATATCTTTAATCCCACCCAAAGGAAATGAAAATTGGTTATTATGCAGTTGCGAATTGATGAGTGTGTGGGTCTCATCAAACATGGAAGCAAATAGATTGGAGATTGTCAGCTTAGGTAACTTCCTAGGTGTACAGTCTCTCTGTATGCTAATGAGTCACTTTTTAAAATTAAGAATGAGTAATTCTGACTGCTATGTATACTTGTTTTTATATCATCGTGGATTAAGAATCATTGGTTAGCAATGGATGATATTCATATAATTATCTTCAAGTTTGATTTTTCTAAAGTATAAATAAAGATCACATATTTAAACTGCAGGAAATATTGGCAGTTTAGATGTTCAGCTTCTTTACAATAAAGGAAGGCTTACTATTAAGAGTATGTAAATTTTCAAAGTTATAAAGTTTAAAAAATTTAATTTATGTTGAACATATGGAATTAATGTTCAGACAACATGTAATTAGGAACCATGCCAAAGTAGTGCTCACTCCATACAACTTTATTTACAATTTTTCTCTCTTAAACAGTCTCTATCACTTGATTTTTATCATGGACTGGGAACTGACATGGTGTTTTGCATATAACCACATTTTAATGCTGAGCTACTATTTTTTAATTCTTAGAGATTATCCATGACAATATAATACAGGATAGTAATGGGAATAATAAGTGGATACCTCCACCTGATCAGTAACTAACATTAGAGAAATTAAATATATTTCTCAAATATATGCACTGATCTTTTTGCTAAATTAAATGTAGGATTAAATACAATTCAAATTATAATCATGCTTACTAAACTTCAGATTAAATTACCTACATATATGCTTGATTTATAAGTTTTTTTGTAACCAACTGATATACTTATCTCTTATTCTTAATCCTAAATGTAAATTGAATGGCACTATAAGAGCTCCATGTATCCCTTCTTCTATGTGGTCATGAGTAACTTGAACCCCAACATTTCTAAGCCGTGTGATATAAATAAGACCATCATCTCTTAGGATGTCATGTTCACAAGTGAGGATGTATGTTAATGGCAAACTCTGTAACTGGGAGTCACTGACTAGCAAAGGGGACAGCCTGCTATCCACAAGTGCTGGGTAGAAAGCATTTAGCTTTCCAAGAGTTGGCTCAGTATAAACATGGTTCTTTTTATACTTCTCAGGAAGGAAGTGACTCCAGTTAACAAACTTGAACAGATGACTTGATCCTTTGGGCATGTGTTCATTTCTATGCATAGCCTCGGGCAGTGCTGTGTCTTTAGTCACATATAGGCATGCCAACTTAATTCCTATCTCCCTTGAAAGAAAGGGACCATGTTCATAGTCTTGATGCGATGGCGTCAAGCTGTCGATAAACTGTAGTCCAGGATATAGCAAGGCTTGTGCCTTAATTTTACCTTTGTGTTCTGGATTATTCTGAAGCTGTAAATATAAAAATAATACTCAATAATTTTTACACAAAAGACAAACATATTTATGTTAATAACTCAGGGTAAATAAATTTGTATCATTTGAACACTAGTGATTATTCTCACAATACTTACTGATTCAGAGATGTTAGGGTGTGTCATTCCTCATTCATCGATGTGGAAATAGTGTATGATCTCCTACACATGCAGTTATTCACACTATGATAATAACCAAAACATGATAAGGGAGTCCCAGAGATGATCATAGCATAATTATATCTCAGACTACTCTTTATAAATTGAGGTTTTGAGTGCTTTGTTTTGGTGTGGAGGAAGTGGTGGTGGTGGTGGTGGTGTGTGTTTGTGTGTGTGTGTGTGTGTGTGTGTGTGAGAGAGAGAGAGAGAGAGAGAAAGAGAGAGAGAGAGAGAGAGAGAGAGAGAGAGAGAGAGAGAGAGAGAAATTGAGAGAGAGAGAGAGACAGAGAGAGACAGAGAGAGATTATATTTATCTATACCAGGTTGTTTTGGAACATACTTTTCTCCTGTCTCAGTCTCCCAAGTACTCAGGTCATAGATACGTGTCATTATGCTCTAATTGCTTAAACACACACACACACACACATACACATTATTTGTGTTATGTTTATGAATTATGTATACATACAATATGTACGAGTGAATTTGCAAAATATCTTTAAATATGACATATAAACCTTATACAAATGGAACCTTAACATGTTTAGGAAATGTCAGGACTCATCTAGGAGAGGCTAAGGCTAGCAGATTAACTTCCTAGAGGCAGCCCAGAATTTTTTGCATGTCTTCTGGTAAGTGAGCTCTGAGAGGCAAGACCCCAAGAGTCTTCATTTCAGGATTGCTTCTTGCAGGTGATATGCCTTTCTTGTAATGATGATATAGCCAAAGAATTCATGGGGATTAGCCCACTCTATTGAGCAAATTTCCTGAAGATCAATATAAAGATGAACATTCATACATTAAGGCTGTTTAGAAGAATTAAAGATATTATAGAATTCTTGATTTGATTCAAATAATTTAGGAAGAAAGTTTTAAAAGATGGTTTTGATTGTTTAGCCAGAAAGATACAATCAAGTTAGAATCACAAATAAAATATGGAAACTCCTCATAAAATAGTAAATAAAGGGTACATAATATGGAATACAATGAGCTTTCACCATTACACTAAAATGAAATATCACCTTGAGACAAAATTTGTGATCAAGGAAAAACATTCATTTTATGTCAGATCCAAGGATGAAGCCACAGGTGTACACTATGATAAAGCAAGGACATGTGAAACTGTTGCTTTGAACTTATAATGAGCATATAAAATGAAACACTGCTTTGTGCTTAATATCAACATTCTTATGTAATTCTCTTTTTTAGTAATATTATATTTATGAGGTAATTTTTAAAGAACTTTTGTCTATTAAAAGGTCATAGAAAAGAAGTAAAGTGGTGGCTTGAGGGGTTCTCCCCCCTATCCATCCATCCAAATGTATGCGTGTGACATTCGTGGCTCAGCTTAATACACTAGATGTATATATGTAGATGTCTGTTTGTCTATATGTATGTAGGTAGATATACATTTATGTATGTAAGCATGCATATAAATGTGTATGGAATAGATTAGGACAGGTGGTCAGGTCTGACGAGAGTGTGTATGTGTGTATAAGTGTGTATCTGTGTGTGTGTGTGTGTGCATATTTGCCTCTGTAGAGAATTTTAATTCTAAGAAACCAGTGGATTTTAGCACAAATAGTAATAAAGTTACAGAGTAAGAAACCAGTGCTTATTAAAGCAAAAATAATATTGCAAGGCCAGGAATTATCAGTCTTTGAAGGTCATCTGACATTGTGTTATGTCCAGTAGCATTACTCTAAAAGCCTGGGAAGGCTCCCAGAAAGGAGAACAATTCAATCATGAATCCTACCTTTAGGAAAACACCGGTTGATGTATAAAAATCAAAAACAGTAGGAAAGATGACAAATGATTTGTGCATACAGCCCTGTCTTTTCCAAAAATGGAAATTGTCCTTAGTTTGCAGCTTTAAGAAGATTTCTCCTTCTTCCATTTTCTAGTTATGGGCACTGCAGGAGACAATGTGTAGTGGGTCCCTAATGCTCATTACTCAGTCAGAACAAGTGCTTATGCAGCAGCACCATATCCACAAATGTCTGTCTCTGTAGCCCTCAACAGGGAAGTTCAGGATCCAGTCAGAGTTTTCAAGGCCAAACCCTCATCAAAGGAGTTGAGTTGATAAAATGGAAGGATGAGTTGAAATCTCAAAAGCACATAAGGAAAAGTAACTGACCAATTCCAAAATATGCACACACACACACACACACACACACACACACTAGATGCAAAGTGCTACATGATAAAAAATTTCCTAAGAGATTCTTTTTCATTGTCTATATAAGAAAACTAAAATTTAAAATTTAATTGTCAGAACCACCTAAGACAGGCTGGTTTATGCAATAAAAAAAGGGGGGAGATGTGGAGAGCTTTTGGTGCTACCTGGCAGGAATCTTACTTTGACCAAGGACCAGGAAATGGGCTGCTTGGCAGGAATATGACATTATGCTAGAACAAAGAAGTAATCTCAGGCAGGAATCTAAATCTTAGGCTAGAACAGAAGTAATTATAGGCAGGAATCTAAATCTTAAACTACAATAAAGAAGTAAGCTTCAGGCATGAAAAATGACTGTGGGCTAGGGCAGGGAAGTAGGCTCAGATATTTTGGTCATCCTGATAAGCTCTTAGAAATAGTGATCACAGGAGTGATCATGGGACTCTTTATTGTCCAGTGTGTTCTTTGATTATCTGGGTTTATTGTCTTGCTTGTTTCTTGACTATTTGCATCCATTGTATTGCTAGTTCCTCAACCTAGAACTGACCTTAATACTTGCATGTAATTTAAATGATATAAAAGCAAAAAAGGAGGAGGAGGGATGGGATAGGGAATTAATGGGGGGGGGGGGAAATGGGGAAAGGGGAAAACATCTGATATATATAGAATCTTTTTCAGGTATTCATTTGTACATCCTAGTGACTAGAATTTCTTGCAGCCAGGAATATTTTAGGTAAATTTTCTGCCTTATGTAATCTACATATGAGTGCCTATGGAAAGAAATAGCAAACCTGCCGTCTTACACCCATATAAGCCTGCAGCTCAAACCCTTATATACCTGTTTATTTTAAATAAGTTAAAATGAAATAACATTAAATACTTATATCCTCAGTCATGTTACCCAAATTTCAAGTACTCCTTGACTCTATATGACTAATGGCTACCTTCTTTGGTGGTATGTGGGTGTAGGGGTAAGGGGTACAGAATGCAGTGTGTCAGGAGGATCAGAGAATAGACAGCATGGTACATGGTACCAAAACATTGGCAGATTCAAGTGATAGCTTCTCCACAAGGAAGCAGATGTGACTCCTAATGCATTGGTAGATGCTTCGGGTAGAGCCAAGTACATCCCTGGAGTCCACTGGGCACCTAGTCCCACAGTTCCATGGGACTCCAAGGTCAGTAAATCAACTTACTTGAAAACAGATAAAAACTGAATGAGGAATGTATCATTTTCTACACATTTGTGCACATATATGAGCATGAACCAGTGTACATGCAGATACTCACAGGCACATGTATATGTATTTATATGAAAAATAAAACAGAAATCAAGTGAAAACCAACACACTTTAGGGAAATGGTAAGAATGGGCTTTCTTTGCAGTAGTTCAAATTTCCCCAAGCTTTAAACCAAAAGGAGACAAAAGAAATGTCAGTACATTAATAACTTAAAATTTAAGTGTTAAAGGAAAGAACTCAAGGAAAATAGCAATAATCTGGAATTCAACTTTTACTATTTCTGTGCAGTCCTGATGGGTACCTTTTTCAATACCCATTGTATTAAAGCTACTAAACTTTTACAATAGCAATATCTATCTGTATCTCATAATTTGTGGTCAAATTATTCTTCATTATTAAAATCCTAAAATAGTGGATTCAAATTCACTGAGATACTTCCAGAGTGTCACATAAAAGAATTTCCCATAGATGCTCTGATAACCAGGACATCCAGCTCAGGGCCTTTTGTAAAATAGTAAATATGGAAAACTGTGTTGCCTAAATTAATCTAGGACTGTGGAACAGTTCTGGGAACAGCTATAGAAGTCTTAGTTTTTGTCACTCACCTATCCAAAAGTATCTGAAATTGCAGGGTACAGAATGAATCTATATGAAACTTCTGTTTTTCAACTTTTCCAATAGCCTGCTGTGGGTCACACCAGCCCTTTTTGGGAAAACTGTAGCTATCACAATGGAATATATGCATAGTATTAAATCCTACATATACAGAGACCCTTTGTCTAATTCCATGGCCACCAGAACTGTGGCAGGAAAACACTGCAGTTGAATACCTAAGCTATGTCTCCTCAACGAGAAAGCTTCAGTCTGGCAAAGATGTGATCTGACTATCAAACAATATCTTAAAATGCTTGAATTATTTCTAGATTTTTCTTGTAGGCCACCTCATAGAATTTCATTAGATATTTCAAAGAAATATAGAACCAGGTAGAAAAAGAGTAAACCAAATTTGCTTGTGGTACTTAGTCCAGCTGGCAAAGTGAGATATACAGAATAGAAGTAGGCAAGAAGAAAGCCTGTTGGCACAGAAGCAGCATCAGTGTCAGTGTGCAGCACCGGGACAGAATAGTCAAACATCTCCAGCAACACAACATACCAATTGAGTTGCTGCTGTTGCCAATGTACCTCCACAACTGTCTCCAGAAATACAAATGCGAGCAGGATCTACTCCATACTTTTCAAGAACTGAGTCCTGAAGAAAGAACTTGATCACAAGAACACAGTCTTCAAGGGCAGCTGGGAATGGATACTGAGGAGCAAGCCTGTAACTTAAAAAAAAGAATCAAGCACCATGATTAGACTTATACATAGAATGATCTCTCAGCTTCAACAACAAATGCATTAATAAAATTTGGTCCTTATTTTGAACCTTTAATTTCATCAGTAAACCTAAACTTACTGATAGCTTCTGTTTTAAAACAAGAAGCAGATTCTGGTTTACAGGGTTTCAGGTACTGGTCCTATGGTAAGATGAGTGAGAGAAGATGAGTCTTTACCCTTATAAAGTCTGTAGGTTTCACCAGGTCCTCAGTGAAGTTTGAGACTTAAAAGTGATTCAGGATTATTAGAGAAGTTCCCCAGGAAAATGTAAAATCAGAGAATATGGTATCTGATTTAACATAGGTACATTCACTTTGGAAATTATTTAAGTCAGAATTCTATAAAAATGAAGAATTTCACATGACAACTCTGAAAATTTGAACCAATATTAGAATATTACTTATTTAATAATTATTTAATTATGTAACAATATTAAAAATATTTCTATATATTTAAGTATATCATATTATGTAAATATATTAATGTGTCTTACCAAAATAATATGTTAATTTTATTCTGTGTATGTGTGTTCTGATATAGAAGCACACTTCAATTGAACTATCTTATTATTTTCCTCTATAATTTTAAACCATTAGAATGCTTCAGTTATTTACTCATCAATATAAACAGTATTACTCAGATGGTCCTTGTTTTTATATTTCAAATAGTGCCTTAATGTTTTAAAACAGCTCTCTAAGTAAAGCAAAATTTAAAATATGAATATATATGCCAAGGGAAGTAAGTACAAGTATCTAAAGAAATATAGATTTATTAAAGTAAATGCAACATAATATACCATTTTAAAAGCTTGCATAGAATGATAAATGTGGTAGATTTGGTTGAAATTACAAGAGGAAAGGCAGACCATTCTTAAGATTGTAAGTCATTTATTTCTTAAAATACAAGTAGTTAGTCCTATTTCTTCAAGGAATGGTTATGAGAACATCACTCATCTCTCCAGTAAGTTTACTTGATTCTATTATATTTGTGGCCAAGAAATTTCTTTCATTGTATTCAGCTATGTCCATAATTCTGAAATTTCTGCACTATAGAGTTGGCAGGAAAGATTCACCCTCATGATGAAGGTTTCATAAATATCAAGTGTACCCAGTACATGTTAAAGTAATAGGCACCTTCCTGACTTTGGTGTGTGGTAGAAATGTCAGGCCAAAGTCATGATATATGAAAACTATTATTTGGGAACACTGAAAATATTTATATGCTACCTAAATTGGTCATTTACTGTTACTAAATCCATGGATAATTCTAGCCTTTGTTCTTATTAGTAACTCAAATAAAACACATCCTAAGACTGTCATGAATATATTTTCTAGGTAAAAAATAAACAAATAATTTAAACTTAAACATCAAGACAAAGATTTAGCCTTTTTCTTTCTCTCTTTCTTTCTTTCTTCCTCTCTCTCTCTCTCTCTCTCTCTTTCTTTCTTTCTTTCTTTCTTCTTTTTTGTGGTTTAGTTGACTTGTTTTCTAAACCAAGACTATTTTTGGAAGGCAATGACCATAGTATGTAACATGAAAATTATTATTTTCTTACTCTACTCCCACAACAACAGCGTCAAGCTTGTTTGCTGTCTGTCGGTTCAGTTCATCATAAGCAAACATCTCTGAAATGAAAGAGATAAAACAAAACTGCTTAGTGGATTATCAAGCAGTGGAAACACAGGTAGATCTAAGAATGGCTATAGAAATATGAACTGTGATGAACTGATGACAACTCTAAGAAGAATTAACAATGTAACACCCATATTTTTGAGGTAGTTAATACAGCCAGGAAAAATCTGATTGATCATAATGGAAGATGCTTGTTGTATTTTGCTAACCTACTTTGGGATAAACAGAACAATTTCGTTTTCAAGGGAGTGCTCCATTCAAAAAATGCCATTGGTGCAGATAGGTCCCCATGTATCACTTATCTCTGGGGTCAGTTTCATTAGGAGGAGCAACACTTATAGAAACTATATCAGGCAACATTGCACTCATGATGACCCATAATTAGCAGGAACTATGGACATGGTAAAAATACTTAATTAGCAGTAGACACATTATTTTCAATGTTCTTGGTTGAATTCTGTATTTCTAAAGAGAAGAAAAAGTGTATGTCTTGGATTTCTAACTCCTCAAAAGCATACTTCCTACAACCATGGTTAGAAGAACTTGAACTTAACCAGAATTTTTATTTTCATAAATTCAGATTTTTGCCATAATTGGCATTTTAAAGCTTTGTTAGTCCTAATTTTGTACATTTTAATCTTTTAACATCTTTAATATTATAATAAAATTACATAATTTCTTTTTTACATTTCTCCTTCTGAAGCCTCCTAAATACCTCTCTTTTCTCTCTTTTCAAATTTGTGGTTTGTTTTTCATTAATTGTTGTTACATGCATACATTGTATGTATATGCCTATATATAGTTCTAAATATAACATACTTAGTCTGTATAATGTTACTTGTATTCAGGACTGACCATTTGATATTGGATAACCAATTGATGTGGTCTTCGCTGGGGCAGGTTGTTTCGGCATTTCTTGCTGTCTGTAATTCTTTGTGTACCATTGAGACCTGGTGGGCTACCCCTACTCCACGAACTAAAGCTAGATGTGCTTCTTGGTATAAATTTTTTAAACAACATTTTTATGTTGCCATGAACATAAACACTTACAAAAACATGTTTATATTTAAAAATCCAAAAAAAACTTCGCTTACTTTCTAAAGAAACAATTTCAGTCTTCATTAAAATAAGCAATATCATATTCTTGTATTGAGAATTCTTTATAAAAATGTATTATTAATTAAATTTAATTATTACACACTCATAAGGAGGTAGATAAAAAGAGAGCTAAAATTTGTGATTAACACCTGAGCAGAAAGCAATGTCAAAATTCCTTTTACTTATAAATGGAAACCAATTCACTTTAAAGCATAAAATGGTCTTCATTATAAACACAAATGTAATGACTACTATTAGGTGCTCAAGGAAAGAATGAAATCATGGCAGTAAAAACTGTGATAAGGTCATAAGAAACAAAAGTTCATTTCAGAGTAGCTAAATGCAATTTATTTAATTCTCACATCAAAACAAACAAACTTACTGCAGCTTCCTAAGGTAAAGGCACCACCATGAATGAAAATCACAGCTGGTCTCTGTCTTTCAGATTTTCTTTTGGGTAAATACAGACGAACAGGGATGTCACTGAAGTCTGTGTCAATCACTGTGATGTTTTCATCTGAAACTGGTTTTGTCAGTTGCATTCTCACAAATATGGAAAAAAAGTCTTCATATTTTATAAGACCCATGTGTTCAAACATTTTGGCCTATCAAAACAAAAACGTGAACATTAATTATTTTTGTAACAACAAATGTACACAGAGAAGCAATGTAAAAACGAGTAAGTGATGTGAAGATGCCTTGGGTGTGTTTATCCTTGCTCTGAATTAAGGGAATGTACACAAAGAGGAGGCAGATTGTAAAGGCCTGAGGTTGTAGAGGAATGCTAAAATGCAGTCTTCTGGACATTATAGGATGCTGTACTTGTGACCTCACAGCAGCTGTGGTTGCCTGAACTCTAAGAGTATACCAGTCAACTTTCCGTAGAATCTTTCCATGGTAAGGAGCAATTGGCTAGTGGAGAGTCAATTTCCTGTGAATGTGTGACTCTTAATAGATTACTCTGGCACTTGTAGATGGCCCTATAACCATGCACATAGGGGCGATTTGAACTGTACTCCCTCCCCCTTTTATTAACATGAAATTGAAAGGGAGGTGTGGTGTGGTAGGATCTGAAGAATTTGGATGGGGAGATTGAAGGATAGATTTGATTGTAAAACATTGTACGTATATACAAAATTCTCATAGAAAACGTAAATACATATTAAAATATCATTAAACAAGCTCAAAGACAAATTAATGCAGAAAATGTTTATAATAAATAAGTCAGAGTGGCCATCTTTATTTCACTGATTGAATTATGAGGAATTGCTTAAATGCCAAGCAAAAATAAAAAGAGATATTAATGTGGTTACCTATATAACTGCTACACAAGATTGGTCTCATCCGCTTTTCCTCAGGGCCTTGGCATGGGTCTATGAAGCCCCATAATAACTTTAGGAACTATGGTAAGTCAATGTTTTCTGGGAGAGGTGGTGCCATTTTCTTTAGTGGTATAGACACTGATAATTTACCCTTCTATTAAATATCTCCTCCAATACACCAACATTAAACTAATTAAACCTAGGGGATCTCACAAAGAGAAAGTATGACTGTAAATGAGACTTGTTGAGAGGGTTCCAGCAGAAGGGGAATCATGAGAGAGAAAATTATTATATAAATTTATAAAACTGTCAATAAATTTAAAACATTGATTTCCTTCTTGATTTTCCATAGACCAAATTATCATTTATCAATGTGCTGTTTAGTTTCCAAAATCTTATTTATTTTCTGTAGTTCCTATTATTGTTGATAATCTGCTTTATTACTTTTTGATTCAATAGGATTCAGTGTTATTTCAGTTGTGAGTGGGAGTTGCTTTGAACCCTGATATGTAGTAGATTTTGGACAAAGTGACATGGGGTGCTGAAAGAAAATGTGTTCTTTAGGGTTTGGGTGGGATATGCTGGAGATGTCTTTTGGATTCATTTGATTTATGAGGTCATTTAATGTCTGAATTTCTCTCTTTAGTTTTGTGTGAGTTACCTGTATATTAATGAGAGTAAGGTACTGAAGCCACCCTCTATCTCTGTAGTAGTGTAGGATCCTGAAAGGCAGCCTGGTTTCTGGTCGGGCACAGGCTAGAAATCCCTGGAGACCCAAGGTGATCCTGAGGGGCCCCCAGGTGGGACCTCATATGACTCTAAGAGACAGTAGGCATTTTGCCATCCACTCAGACTCCAGGCTCCTGGCATGGTGCTGCAGCACTCCATAGATTTATGTCTTTCAGTCAACTGCAACGCCCCATCTAGCCCCTCCACAGGTAGACGGCATGACCACAAGTCATTTAGCCTCAAGACAGATCTCCATATTAATGAGATGCCTAAAGGGCAGAAGGATGTAGCCAATTAAGCATTCCTTCCCAGACCCTCCTGCTTGAAAAAGGTATTTAACCTTAGGCCTGCCCTGAGAAAATGAGGTACAGCTTCTCATCTACTTTCCACCATAAAAATAAACATCATAAAACTGCCTTCTTTTCATCGGGATCATCCATGGACCAATGGAGAAGGCCTTTGCCTAAAGAGCCATGTCTAATCTTCCGCAGAAGACCTGTCTTTGTTCCAGCCGAGGTGACCACCAACCCAAGCAAGCCACTGACCGACCACTGAGACAAGCCAAGAACTCTCATCCCTGTGAGTGAGACACAACCAGAGTGCCCTCCCTCTCTCCCCTTCGGCCTCAGGTATATCCAGCCTGTGGACCTCCCATTTTGTTCTCAGCTTTTTCATGATTTCCAGTGACACCTGGATTCCCAAGACCTGAGACCCAGATGGTACCCTGGCTGTCCTACGGTCCCTCCACTCCCCACCCCCACAGCTATCCCGCGATACCTAGAAGCCTTAACCCTGTGGCAGGGCAGACTGGACCCCCATTTACCCAACATAGAAGGGTGGGTCAATCTTTTAGAAATTGTGTGCACCTGTTTGTGACATAAATGTTTAGAAATGTATCATTCTCTTGATTAAGTTTTCCTTTAATGAGTATGAAAAACTAGTTTTGTCTTGAATTCTGATTTCCAGAGATTAGAATAGCCATGCCTACTTGTTTCTTGGTTGTATTTGCTTAGAATAACTTTTCAATCTTTTTACCCTAAAGAATATCTATTGTTGCTGCTGCGATGTGTTTCTTAGAGGAAGCCAAGAGTTGTGTTGTGTTTTCTAATCCTATTTTATTATTTGTTTTGTAACCTATCTGTTAATCTGTTGGGGAATTGACACTATTAGTATTAAGAGTTCTTAGTTTGCCTGGTTGGGCCTCAGTGGGAGAGGATTTTTTAGTCCTTCTGGGACTAGATGTCTGTCCCAAGGTGGGGTGATACCAGAGGTGGAATCTCACCTTCTCCTCAGAAAAGAAGAGGGGTAATGCAAGGAGCAATTTGCAGAGGCAGGATTGGGAGGAGAGGAGGGAGAGGATGCTTCAATCAGGATGTAAGGGGAATAAATTATTGGGGGAAAAAAGAATTTTAGTTCCTGTCATTTTGTTGGGTGATGTTTTCTTAAGCCTCTTTTAATTAACTGTCCAGGATTTATTTATTTGTTCATTCATTCATTCATTCATTCATTCATTGTGCTTTTTTGGATTTGCTTAACATTCTCTTTAGACCAAACTATTCCTTCTGTTACCATCTTTAGAGCAGACTTAGTAGTCTCGTACATCCCTTAAATCATGGAAAGCTTTTCTTTCTTTTGCAGTTATGACTGTTAATAGTTTGGTTTAGTATCTGTGATTTTTTGGAAACTGTAGAATATAAGTTTGGGTTCTTTGGTTTGTAAACTCTCTGTTGAAAATGCCTTGCATTGTTCTGATACACATATCTTTACATGTGGCTTGGTTTGTTTGTTTGTTTGTTGTTTGTTTGTTCACAGCATTCAATATCTTTTTTTGTTTTATAAATTTACTGTTTTATTATATTATGGGGTATTTCTTTTGTTGTCCTGTCTATTTGTTATTTTGTATAATTCTTGTATCTTGATAAACATTATTTTCTTTGGGTTTGGGAATTTTTCTTTTATTTCTTTGTTATAAATATTTTAATATGCATTTGATATGGGTTTCTTGACCTTCTACTATACCCATCCTTCATAAGTTTAGCTTTTTTATAGTGCCTCAGAGTCCATGTATGTTCCATTCTTGGTCCTTCTAAATTTACCATTTTCGTTGATCCTTAACAAAAATATAGCATAATAACTTACAAAATGTTATATATTTTATAAAAATATTTTAGAAAAGTAAGATGGAGCCAAGCCAAACTGCAGGAGATGATAAAAAATATTACATTTTAGTTCATAAAATAGTTAAATACAAGTTTAAAAATCACTACAAAGAATAAACAACTTTGTTCTTTGAAAAGGTAAACAATAATAGTTACATGTAGGTAATAAAATAACAGATTACAAGGCAGTATTTATATAGACTAAAAAGAAATTCATAGAATAAGTTGTCAATTCTTGGAACTTTTATTTTTTAAAAATCTAGAAATGCTACCAAAATGGAAAAATTCCAAAACTGGCACTACCAACAAAAGATGTAATGAATTAAAGAGATTAAAGACCAAAAAAATATGTTGAAGTAATAATCAGTAGTCTCACCAGGAATAAATAGATTCACTGTTGAATTTTACTAAACTATTAACTCTCATAATCAGTATCTTTCAAAAACTTGAGTAGAAGTAACAAAAATCCCTCAGTCTGTATATTCTATTGTATCCTATGGTACAACATAATATGTTTCAAAATATTCTCCACAATAAAAATGGAAGCAGCATTTTTATACTAACTCCATAAACTCAGCACACATACACACACACACACACACACACACACACACACAAACATAAATAATATTTCCCTGTCTAAGAAAAAAGATTTAAAATTTTTGAACTAAAAAAATACACACCAAGCTCAAGACCACATTAACAATATTGTAATTTTAATTTGATTTCATCCTAAGTATAAAGTGCAAATTTAGTTTAACATATGAAAATTGATAAATGCAGCATTCCATATAAACACACTTAAGAACAGAAATATCATTATTCAAATAGATGCAGAAAAAGCATTCTGTAGCTTCATAAACTGTTGCTAAATTTCATGGAAGAATTAGAAAGAGATGAAACAGGAATGTATCACAAGGCAATAAAGGCTACAGAGAATTAATCTGTGGTTACCTGGTACAAAGGTAAGTATGCTTCTTATGAAGTCTGGAATGATGCAGAGATGCTGTTCTTTCCAACCTTTCAATATATTTAGAAAACTTATAGCAAAAAGACAAGAGAAAAAAAAAGCAAAAGGAATACAAATAATGAACTCTGGAATGGGGGTAGCTCTGTGGGGAATACGAGAGTTCAAATATTCAATATCATGTAAATATCTAAAGAATGTTAAAAATGAGCTGTAACTCCAGACCTCAAAAGGCAAAACCATGTGACTAAAAGCAACTACCTAAGACTAGTCAAAACAGGAACTCCTGGTGCAATGAAATATTCTCAACAAATAAAGTAAGGAACACTCTAGAAAGCATGCAGTGTTGATTTTAGTTTGTTTGATTTTGTTACTGTTGTTGTTTTGATCCTAGACTACTGCATTCAAAAGAATACTTGCCATTTTTC